TATGCAGATCCGAAATATCATATCCGTAACATTCCTAATTCAGAGCGTTTTACATTGTGTGATGTGACTCTGACTGATGGCCCCTGTATGTGAACAGCTTTTAATCAATATTTTTAAGTGCTTTCACAAACCATAATGTTGCCAATGTAACAAAGAGTACTGAATGCACCACTGACACTCATGATATTTCTGTACACGATGTTTCCAAATTGGTGATCAGTAAGGGTGTTGTACTCGGCGCGTTAAGGTGTCTGTATACAACAAATCGTCCAAGGTGCGGCTGCATTCTTGTTTTATTTCTTTATAATTGTGCTGACAGTCTTGCCTACCCAATCCAGCTGCTCTTCATAAAATCTTTATAGGAATGTGTAGTAACTCTGGCATGGAAGAAATCATGTATAGTACCCATACACAAAAAGGACCTAAGACCGCCCGATTTCGATAGTCTTAGCAAAATATTTAAGAAAATTGTGTACTAGGAGATATAATTTGTCATATCAAATGGGATAAGTCAAAGTCAGCATGGTTTCCTAAGAGGGCGGTCGACCACTACCGATCTGGCCACATTTTTCATCATGTTCTATGCAACATGGAGGCTGGTAGGCAGGTCGACGTGATTTACACTGACTTTGAAAAAGCTTTCGATCGTGTGGATCACGTCATACTGCTCAACAAGCTATAACACCTCGGAATCCATGGTTATATACTTAGATGGGTTTGTTCCTACTTATCAAATCGCGCTTAGACTGTAGTGGTTGGTGCGTTTAGGTCGGACTTCATAAATGTTCCCCGGGTGTACCGCAAGGGTCCCACCTCGGTCTGTACTTACTTGTAAGACAACGAAACAACAAAATACGACAGTCATCTATTGTATGCAGATGACATGAAAATGTACAACAAACAAAAAACGCGATCTCAATGCTCTTTATGGCTATACAAGCGTAATAATATTACAGTTAATATTTCAAAATGTCAGTGCATTACTTTTAGTCACTCTAAAAAGTCAATAAAATACGCGTTTAAGTTTAATGACAAAATCATTGAAAGGGTTGCAGAGGTCAAGGATCTTGAAGTAACTCTGTTTTCAAAATACTTTTTTAAAAGCACATTGACAATGTCATAAATAGAGCTATCCGGAACCATGGTTTCGTTACACGCACGTGCACACCCTTTCAAAATTCTTAAACCTTAAAAACAGTTTACTTTGTTTGTGTTCGCAGTTTTATAGAATTCAGCTGTCCCTTTTAGTCAACTCATTACAAAGTATATCTTGACAGGTTAGAATGCATCCAGATAAGTTTTGTCAAGTTTCTTGACTTCAAGACGAGAAAGCGTCACAAATCACACATTGATGACTGTTAATATTTTAACATGCTGCTAACAGACGTATAATGTTGGACAGGTCTTTATTCTACGATATCTTGCGTGGTAGCATAGATTGACATCACATTTACTTTCCCAAATTACTTTCAATATTCCCAAAAAGCTAGAAATACTAAATTCTTCTGTGGTACGCATGCTATTATAACTAGGTTGCCTCGTACCTATAACTCACACTGCTACCGTGAGCGAATTGTACATAGTCTTGTTGATAGTTAAATAATAGTGACAGTGCGGTGCGATCGCTCACATATACCTCACGCTCGGTCGGTCGTTAAAATAATATATCGCCAACCTTTTTTTCTTTTTTTTAATTCACAATTACTGTAAACTCGAAGCAACTACCGCGATAATGAAGACCTGTGGAGTTTGTAATGTTAAATTCAACGATGGAGTGCAATGCTGCAACTGTAAGAAGCTCTTGGACTTTGGCTGTGCGAATATCTCCGAAGCAGGTTGGAGAAAACTTGGGGCCGATAGGAGAGCTCAATGGAAATGTCCCATGTGCAGGATTTCTTCACCGGCAATGTCCACTCAAGAGCCACCTGTAACGCTGGAAATGGTGCTTACTGAAATTAGAGATATGAAACGCCAGCTATTGAGCCTACCAGCTCTTGTCGAGGATATGCGTACCATCAAGGAAGAACTCATTGAGTTGAAGTCCGCTTGCGACTTCTCCAGTGCGAAACTTGACGAATTTAGTACTAGACTTGTGGATCTTGAAGCCAAAACATCTGAGCTTACAATACTTCAAGAGACTGTCAGCTCACTTGGTAATAGCCTATCCAAGACAATGTTTGAGCTCGCATCATATGATCAGCGTTCGCGTCTAAACAACGTGGAGATTAAAGGAGTCCCACAAAATAAGAACGAAAACCTATTCTCAATTGTTGAAGCTATCAGTCGTAAGATTAACTTTAACTATCAAAAAACTCATATTAACTACATCTCTAGGATTCCAACCCACAATCCAAAAGATAAATTAATAATTATAAGCTTCCTGAATAGGTACAATAAGGAGGATTTTATTACGGCTGCACGTGCGGATAAGGAACTTTCTACCACAAGCATCGGATTCCAGTGCACGCCGCACCGAATCTTTGTGAATGACCACCTAAGTATTGATTCTAAAAAGTTGCTAAACAATACTAAGAGTATAGCCAAGGACAAGAACTATGAATTTGTGTGGGTTAAGCACGGTAAGATTCACGTCCACAAAAACACCAACTGTAAAACATTAATTATAAGGAAGGATTCTGATTTAAACAAAATTGTATAACATGTTATTTATATGTAATAATAAGTTCGCTATATATTCTCTTAATATGTACTAATATATTTCTATTTATCAACAATATTGAATACCCTTGTAACATGTTTATTACCTCTGACTCACGGTCGAACCCGCCAGCTTGCTATTGCGGTCCTTATCGGGCTGTTTGCATTAAAGTCTTATCCTATACAACTACGAGTATACCTGTCTTGCTTTTATGCGCCTGCATACGCATAGGACACTATTGCTGTCCTGTTTACTTAAAAGTATTCTCCATAGAATGCTGTTTTACATTTTTTGCTATTAACATTTACCCTCTTAATATAAAGTTATTATCATTTAGTTTTGCTTTGGATTTTGAAACGAGTTGATTAATATTTTGAAACATGACATTATTTACTTCTGTATTTTATTGTATATTTACTGTAAGTATCAGTGATGGCTACAAGTATTGAACGTAATTTAAACTTGAATATATATTATCAAAACGTACGGGGGTTGCGTACAAAGACAGACACATTTTATGGCGGGGTGACTATGAGCTCATACGATGTTATCGTGTTGACCGAGACGTGGTTAATTGAAGGTGTTTTGGACTCCGAATGTTTCAACGACCGGTACTTAGTGTGGCGCAGGGACCGCGATTACCTCTCAACCGGACAATCGAGAGGGGGTGGTGTTCTTATTGCTACACGCCGTGATTTACCGGTAAGTGCACAGCCACTACTACATTCCACCGCTGAGGACCTTTGGATTAAGATACGCTTCAAAAAACCTCATTCGCGCGAGTACATTAACTTATACATTTGTGTTATATACTTATGCAAACAACATAATGGCCTCTCGTTTTCACATCAACTCGAAATATTTATATATATAACTAAGTCAATTAGTTACGAACAATAACCGCGATAAGTTTTTAATTGTTGGTGACTTCAATATGAGTCGAATTCGATGGTTACCAAGTAATGATGAATCACTCTCTCCAACTAATCTTTTCAGTGCGGATGAGTACCTACTTGCAGATGAATTATGTACCCTAGGCCTCGGACAATATAATAGCGTATTGAATAAATTTGAGAAAATCTTGGATTTAGTGATTTCAAGCGATCCCGTACAGGTCTCTGAATGCTCTGACCCATTAGTACCCACTGATCCATATCACCCGGCTTTATTAGCTAGTATATCCTTTCTTAACATACCTATTCTACATTGTGCTTCTTTTTCCCTTTTTTTTTTTTGATTGCACCTCAAATTATTAATATAGTGCTATAAGTGAAGACTTGTAATTGGCTTTCAGGCAATTATTGTAATTTGTAAAGTCTTGAACAATTGTAGCTGTAAGTCTTCCATGCTCTAATTAAATAAATAAATAAATAAATATCATGAGTCCATGCAGCACATCCGTATGTATTAACTATGCACTGTAGTTACCCCAATATCTGTTTTCATCTACCAACTATGTTTACATTTACACTTCTATCGTTATAAGATGTCAGGAAACTCTTTTATTGGCTTAAGACCTTTTTGTAATAGGTAGTACCAGTAAGTATTTAAAACATATGTTCTTACTAGTATTTAAGCAAAGATTGGCAAATACTGCTGGTAGTACCTACGCTCTTATCCATGTGTATGGAAATCAAGCTATTCAGTTTCTAATAATAAATAAATTGCCAGAACTGTTAAAGTTAAATTTTTAATCCAATAAAAGTTCTATAGTTAAAACACACCTCTTCGTAGCTTTCAGCAAGTCTGTTATACCACCCAGCTAAGTCAACAGGATTATATGGCTGTTTTTACTGCTAAAAGGATAGGGTGTTCTATTTTCCTTTCTAATTAAAGCATGTGCAATGTTTAACGAAATGTATTACTTAAATTAAAACTTGTCTTGTCTTTTCTTAAGCAAAACGTAAATAAAATATACAGCGTCAGCGTAAAAGTGTCGATTTATTGTAAATACAATGATGTGAATTCGAAGTCCAAAACACTGATACTTAACTATTCTTAAATGTTCACAATACTTTTAACTAAACTACGGTTCATCAATCAAAAGCCTTTGTAGTCGACTACTGGACATAGGCCTCTCCTTAGAAATGAGGTATACCATACCACACTGGCCAGACGAGTTGGTATATTATTCCTTCCTTCTCTTTGCAGAGCTAGAGATAAGATAAGATTATTGAGATGAATAGGGGTGATTACACTTCGTATTCTTAATCCTTCATCACACAGTGCATTATCTTCAAATATCACTCAACTTAACTATTAGTTAGTTAAGTTGAGTTGTTGAAAAAAGTTGTGTCCAAACTTTCTTCTTGTAGTGCAGGTGACTATTGCTGATGTTTTTTTATAAAATGTTTTCCCGCATTATGATAGTGTACGTAACGACCACAGAGTTAAGAGACACAAGTGTGCGATAGTTTATCGTAAAAAACTTAGCAGCGTGAAACTTAATAGGCCTTGTGAGGAGGAGCTTCCGAAATTCCATAAGATCAGTCTTCGTTTCACTATCTGAAATAAAATAATCAATTATCGAATAATTGGTTGATAGAGCTTAACTTAATCAATTGTTCATCTTTCGACATAGTAAATAATTCAAGAGAAATGACGCGATGGTGAAACGTTTTGTTGGATATCGTTAAAAATATACATTGTTCGATTGGATTGTATGGCATGTGTGCTCATCGGAAATCGTGGTGTTGTAGAAAATAACACAAATGGTCTAGATTTCATACACAAGGTATTTTGTCGTATCGAGTGAGTTTTGGAATCCTGATCTGCTCAAGATATCGTTTACTAACTACTTTTCTTATCAAGATACCGGATACCGTAGTGGTTTGTGTAACGGACTGCTATTCCAAAGGTCGCGGGTTCAATTCCCGCTCAAGTCAAACTCTTGTGTGCATTAAAATGTAATGTTTGATTTGGTCTTTGTGTGTCTATGTATAATCTGTTTGTATTTACAAAAAAAAAGAAAAGAATACAATATGTATTTATATCAGTTGATCATCTAGTAGCCACAAGCTCTGCTTAGTTTGGGACTAGATGCCGTTGTGTGAATGTGGTACAATATTATTATTATTATATTATACCTATTTCTTCCACGCTATCCCAAAACTGTAAGGTTAAAAATAAATAAAATAAATAAATAAAAGATATAGACGTGAATGTAATTATCATGGAAATAATTTTTAAAAGAAAAATATATACTTACGATGTTTTGTACCAGCTAACAGTACGTCAATGGTCTCCAGAAGATTATCGCTTTGTTTATAAGCCTGCTCACATCGATACACCAACATAATGGCCATTGCCTCATAATTTAATGCTCTAAGAAGACTCGCTGTGATCGCCAGAACTACAGACAGCTCTGACATAAAAGGTGATGATACCTCTACAAGAATTTGTACCTACAATTTTCCAAAAATTAAATCAAAAGCACAGCGTACGCGTTACGTAACAGAAATAATAATAAAATATAAAAATTTGATCAGTATTTTACTTACGGGTCTGATCACTAAATTTAACAAATAAACCAAGTTGAACAGTATATTCACGAAATGCATCACAATCTGCAAAATACATTGCTAATATAAATAATATAGTTAAGCAAACGATATTTGTACAATTACTAATTAATTTATTTAGGCTAAATATATATGCTTAGAAAAATAAAGCCCTGCGTGTTGTGGCCCAAATTAAACGACTTTTTTTAACGGCAGGAGCAATATTAAAACGATTTTAACATGTCAACAGTATTTATATAATAATATATCTCACACATCTCTTACACGACCGTCTAATCCTAAACTAGGCAGAGCCTGTACTATGGTAACCAGACAGCTGATAAACATACTTATATATTTCGAAATACATATGTACATATTATAGATAAACTAGTAATGCAGACTGTCCCAAAAAACAACTTAGGGATTTCCAATAGTATCGACAGGAGCCACTTCCAAATAACCAAGGTAGCCTAAGATCCATTTATTAAAAAAATCAAAAGTTCTCTTATATACGCGTGTCGGCAACAAACAATATCGAAATCTAATTCGACGACAGCGCCATCTGTTGAGCGATAGGGAGACATGCATAAATATTGATTGGCACTGCCGCTTTAACACAGACGTATGCATATTAAAAACAACATACCCGAAATCCATAACTAGTGTTCACAAAATTTACTTGCTCAAGCAATTGTAAGTAACATTTGATGAACGTTGTAGTTTCCAAATCTCCAATCAAGTGAAGTTTTGTCATAACATTCATAACTTTAGAGTCTTCGTGAAAGCTATCATTTTGGTTGACGTTTGTAGCAGTTCTAACAAGAGGTACGCCATTTATGTTCTAAAAAAGTGAAAAATAATTTGTCAAGTAAAAAGCTAGTAAATGCTCAATTAATGAATTTATTGCCAGGAGTAGGGGAGAAATGGAGGTCGACCCGGGCAAGCGTAGATTTATACCCAGCCAAGGAGCCTGTAAGTGCCCGGGCGGGGAGTGCGCTAGCGACTGAACTACACCTACCTACTCAGCTATGCATCCAATGGCTACGTATGAGAACACGGGATTAATAAAAAAAAAGGTCTTTTTCCTCGCAATCGCGGCGGCTAAGCCAAGACTCTCGCCCCCGATGGGGTATAGAGTATAGAGATAACCACGACACACTTTGAAGGATTGCGATGTACCAAGGGCACAGGAGGAGAAGGAGACACAGTCCCTATAGCCTGTTCGGTGGCAGATTAAGTGTCCGAGCACGTTGTTGTTCCTCCGCTTTGGACAGTGGAGCAACTATCGGTGACCCAAAAACTGCCCCACCGAGTATCCTTCTTAGTCTAAAGTCTCCCTCTAAGCAAATCCGGCATTAGTGACTTTACTGGCATAGCTACCGACCACTGACCGAGCGCGGTGCAGTGTGATAATCGCCGTATGAAAAAAATGGTTTAGCACTTTTTTACTGTAACATAAATAGAACTTACCTGTAGAAGACCTTGAAGTATTTTTAGTCGGCATTCTACTTGAACGACATGAGAAATGACATCAAGGATTGTTAGAATATTTAGAAACAAGTATAAATAATTTATAACGTATATTGATGGTTCCTTCCAACCTTCAACGAAAATCCAACTAAAATAATCAAATAAGGAAACAAAGAGAAAACCGCCGATGCTCAAAAATATACTGATGATAATTGTTTTGTGAATCCCATCGTAATCGGCTTTTCCTAAAGTTTTATCTATAGCATCAAAGGTTTTAATGTATTTTATTAAGACATCGCCACAATATTTCTGAACGATAAATAAATCAATTAAATAAACAAAATAAGGGAACCAATAAACCATTTCAACAAATTTAGAAAATTTTACAGTACTCTCATGTGTATCAATTTCTTTTTTTGCCAGTTTTAGATATAAAAATAATAAATTAACAAATGTTAACACAAGTATGTAGATTGCTCTTTTAATCATTGATCCGAATGTTTGTATTTCAACTTCTTTACGGTAAATATTTGATAGGGCCGTCATTCTGAGGAACCAATTAATAGGAACCAAGGTAAAATACGTATCTTTAATCATTATTTCGTTTGTAAAAATGAATTATTTGTATCAATGAAACTGTGTAAGTCAATTATCACCAGACTGTACTGCGTATCTTAACATTTATCAAATGTGGTTAACTTTAAACTTCCTGCTGATGTATCAACTATAATGCATATTTATACTATGAATTTGATTAATGAAAAACCAATGTTGTTAATAAGTTCAATAGTGGCTACATAGATATAGTAGCACATGAACGATATAGACCGGACAGTTTTATAGAATATATAAATCATAATAAATATTTTTATTTTCCATTAAAATACAGCAGTTAAAAATTTAAAAGGGTCAGTACGTATGGACAGCGTAATGGAATGGCATCGAGAACAGTAACAAAAAATTGTTTTGTTGTAAGACAGTAAGAAAATCACAATCTTGTGTTATGTTAAAGTTGAAAATTAAAGTAGCTACCGTAATAAAATTAATATTATTTAGAACTGTCACTTCCATTGATTCATGCCCTCAGTTTCAAATTAATAATTTACTTGAAGCATTACATTTTGAGGAATTGTTTTCTAAATAGATAGAGCCTATACTCAATTAGACATACTGATGTATTTATGTTACTGATCAATCCATAATTAATGTAACACGTATACCTTAATCAATAGACACTAGCGTTATATAAACTATTTTTGTAAAATAATATCTAGAGTATAATCAATATTTCAGACACAGAAAGTAAATAGGCCTTAAGACCTGAAAATTTATAGTATAAATAGTATCTTAATTACAAGTTTTCGAGTCTCTAGTCTAGTACACCAAAAATAGTTATATTTACGAGAGAAACAGAATTAGTAATTTAATACTAAATGTAAATTACAAACTGTTTTAATACTTTATTTTTATTTGAAATTATTTTGAAGATATTTAATTTTATTGTTAGAATCTGTACTCTTTATTTTTATTTGGTGTGGTCTCAATATATTTTTATTCAACTTTATGAAATAATACATATATATAGAGAGAGAGAGTCTTTGAGTGGATATCTCCTTTTTGTGTCTTCACTCTTGTTTCCTTCAACTGTAAAGTCCCATAATGTAAAAAAATATCCCTATACATCATGGTTATATTATGTAAGACCATTATCCATTGCTTCTCAACCATTACCGTTTTACGTTAATAGTTGACACTCACTTATCACTTACATGTGTGTGTATTTCGTTACCTTATGAAATTAAATTAAACCATTATTTTGTTTAAATCTGGCAGAAGTCCAGGAGCAAGTAATTTGATACTTTAAATAACTACCGATTTGGTTTTACAGGACATCACTCTACAACTGATGGCAATGATGAGCTAGTAAAACTTATATTTAATGCATGAGTAGATGACCACAATGGCCTAGGTATCTTTTGTGATTTATCTAAGGCTTTTGACCACGTTTTTTATAAAGATCTGACAAGAAATTTATGTCATAACGGTATCTTGTTTGAGTAACAAGATTCAGACAGCCGATTTTAATGGCAAGCCTACCAGATTCCACAGGGTTCTATACTTGGACCTTTTTTTTCTTAACCTTCATTAATCGTTTTCATTCATCTTATTAGGAGCAATGACAGCCTAGTGCTGTTAGCAGATAATTCGTCACTCTCATTTATATATAATAAATGTCTCCAATCCACTACTTCAAACGTTAAAGTTTTAATGGCTAAGTCGATGAGACCGATTAAACACAAGTGGTTAGCACAAAACTTGGTGGCAATACAATAGTATTGATGCTAAACTTCTATGGATCAGGAACATTGATAAATGCTCAGCTCTGCAGCACTTAGAAACTTCGTAAACTGAATACTAATAATGAAACAGATTCATTTGATTGTATTTTACTTATTTTTATCTTTATCGATCTGCATACTCGAAATATCGAAATGTTCATAAGACTTAAAAATATTTGGGCAAAAAGTCATTTGGAGCATAAAATATTGGTGTAAAAGTCAAATTGATAAATTTAAAGTTTTATTTACGAGTACCAACCATTACTTTCTTAACTCGAGGTCGTGCTGCTGCATCCCTAGTTTTAATGCTATTGTATAGAAATTCAATGCAATATTGCTGACTTGCAATAATATCAGAATAAAGACGACCGGATGGCGTAGTGGTTTGTGTAACGGACTGCTATCCAAAGGGCGCGGGTTCGATTCCCGCTCAAGTCAAACATTTGTGTACATGAAAATTTAATGTATGATTTGGTCTGGGTGTTTCTATGTATAATATGTATGTATTTAAAAAAAAAGTAAATATGTATTTATATCAGTTGTCTAGTACCCATAGTACAAGCTCTGCTTAGTTTGGACTAGATGGCGTTGTGTGAATGTGCTACAATAAAATTAACATTGCAGATCTCAAAAAACACCAATTTTTTTTAATTTTATCCTCAATAAATTAAGATTATTTTAAATAGAGAGGAGGATAATAACATTAGGGTTTAAAGTAAAAAATCTTCATGTACGGGTTTTTAAGACAGTAATTATTATGTTAAATTTAATAGAAATGGATTCTGAGATTTATTTTCAGGCCAATTTCCATGGTTATAAATGATTTACTATGCAGGCTATTCGACTATGAAATACATTAGCTATCAAATGTGGATAAACCTTCCCTCTTTTTATGTAAACGATAGATCCTGATATCCTAATTTATTATTTGCCTAAAACACGTTCAATCTGTTATTTATTCTTTAAGTTTAATGCTCGTATGTAGATATAATTAACGTTGTCAAAGTGTAGGTGTATGCTTAAACAGGCTATTATTTGTTAGTGTAATATATTTATATATTTTATGATAGAGGAGGCAGACGATAAGACGGGTCACCAGATTAAAAGTGACCATCGCCGCCCATGAACGTCTGCAACTCAGGAGTCACAATCACATTTTTAGGAAGGAGTACGCTCTAAAAATAATATAATATTCAACTACCTTTATTACTTACTTTTATCAATATCGAATGTTGTAGCTGTTGTTGTTAAATTGGTGTTGTGCTCTGCCACAGATAATGTACTTAAGGATATTATCGCTGTACGTACTTGTATATGTCGGCACTAGGTCAGAGTTACCACTTTCGGAGGCCATATCAATAAAACGCAAACTTAAAATCACTTGTTTATTCTTGTACGATCGCTAATGTGTCGTTTCACTTTGACACCCTGTATTTGTTTATCTTTTTATGGAATACATGACAACTTGTTCCTCAGATTGGTAGTGCGAGGCAAAAAGTGTCTATTTATAATTTATACAACCGTTATATCAACTATAGTATCTTTTCTCAACAAATAAATTATTAGACCATTTGTTAAGATTTCTTAAATATAGCTAAACATTCAAGATAAGCATATTGATGAATTTAACATATCTTTAGATGAGTTATTTTACTAAAATTACCCTTATTTAATATGAAATAAAGAATATTCTCTGGCAAACCGCCAGAAGATGGCGCTGCAACCATATTTCAATTGAAATCAAGTTCTATTTAACATATAAAAATAACTGAATTAATCACAATAATTCTAAGAGGCTTTTTTCAGAACACTAGACAATTATTTGAGTAATTTACCTTTTTAATAAGTAATTTAATAATCAAATTTATTCAAACATTCAAAACTGTTTATATTGCAAGTACATGTTACAAATATTTCTAATAACATCACTTAAATTTAAAAAATATTTTTTTTAAGTTTCACCCCCACATATACATTTCAGTATATGTATACTAGGTAAAATGATATTGAGCACCGATGATGGCTCTGCTGCGGAGCATACTCCCTAGCAGAGCCACTGAAAACACATACTCAGAACTGGTAAAATCTACAGTTTTTTATGTAAACTAATGTACGAAAACTGCTTGATTTGATTTTTTTTTTTTGACGACCGAATGGCGTAGTGGTTTGTGTAACGGACTGCTATTCCAAAGGTCGCGGGTTCGATTCCCGCTCAAGTCAAACATTTGATGTTTGATTTGGTCTGGGTGTTTCTATGTATAATATGTATGTATTTACAAAAAAGTATATACGTATTTATATCAGTTGTCTAGTACCCATAGTACAAGCTCTGCTTAGTTTGGGACTAGATGGCGTTGTGGGAATGTGGTACAATATTATTATTCTTATTATTATCATTTCATTACGCTCACAAATTTTTAGTAATCAATAGTAAAGTGAAAATTATCAAAAGCACATCTTAATAATAATATTTTACAACAAGTACGCAATAAAAAATAAATATTTAGACTGCATGGATGGCGTAGTGCTGTATGTGGTCGCCACGCCGTTTCCTTCTACGCCGAGTGTTGTGGGTTCAAACCCCACATAGGACGACACCTTGTGTGATTCATAAATTGTTTTTCTGAGTCTGGGTGTTCTCTGTATCAGTTTCATGTATGTTTGTAAAGTCCCCCATGACACAGGATATATTCCTAATGCGGGAGTTGACTTTTTTAAATAAAAAAAAAGTAATAAAATTAACAGCATTCGTACATAGGTTTTTATAAAAAAAAATGTAGCTTTTATCTGTCTTTTAGTCTGAGCTTTTAGTCTGAGTACGAGTTTTAAGTGGGTATGCTAGGGTGTATGATGCTCAATTTTTTATTACCTAGTGTACGTACAGTGATAATGGCCCTAAGTAAATCCATTATGTACAAAATTTTAAGATATAACTGATTGGTATTTATTAGGTGGCTCACTTAAATTTTCATAATACTTTATCTAAACTACGGCTAATTACATATTCTATCTGCTTAACTAACGTGGGAAAATTGTTTCCAAACTTTCTTCTTGCATTTATTGATAATTGCGGATGTATTTTATTAAATATTTTGCCGCATAATAATAGTGTACGTAACGACCACAGAGTTTAAAGACACAAGTGTGCGATAGTCTATTGTAAAAAACTTAGCAGCGTGAAACTTGATAGGCCTTGTGAGGAGTATGTTCCGAAATTCCAAAAGGTCAGCCTTCTTTTCACTTTCTGAAATAAAGTTACCAATATGGATTAATTCATTGATAGGGTTTTTATTATAATCTACTACTTCAAAGCTGAAACGCCCTGATTCTTAGGGGTTTAACGAGCGACAACGCCCTTGTCACTCTTCAGTGGGGGTGTCCACGGGGGCTGTAATTAGTTGCCATTAGGTGACCCGTCTGTTCGTTTGCCCTACAATGCTTTAAAAACAGAAAAAGTGTGTGTACAATTCATACACGGTAGAAGTGAAACTTTTTATTTTTTATCTCAGAAAAACCCTATAAAATTTTGCCCGGTCCGGGTATCCAACCCAAAATTATTTCTATCAATGAACTCCAACTTCTACCATTTTAATATTTCTACATTACATTATGTGTATGTGATTGTTACGTAAGTTACTTGTTAAACATAATTGTACTTACGATGTTTTGTATCAACTAACAGTACGTCAGTAATCTCCAGGATCTTATCGCATTGTTTATAAGCCTGCTCACATCGGTACACCAACAGAATTGCCATAAACTCATAAGCTAGTACTCTTAGAAGACTCGATACGATCATCGGAAATATATACAATGCTGACATAAAGGCTGACATCATCAGTTCAATAATCTCTTTCTACAATTATCAAAGAAATCAAAATCACAATTTATATTTTGCTGATTAAAATTTATAAACAATGATAAAGAAAGAATAAAGAATGGTCAAATATATGGTCAGTTTTATACTCACAGGTCTGATTACTACATTCATCAAATGAATTATGTAGAACAACATATTCAGGAAATGCACCGCGACCTGGAAAAACATTGCTAATGAATTATAAAGTCTCTCTCTCTCTCTCTCTCTCTCTCTTCCCGACTATTCGTCCCATCCGTCCCATCTGTAGGTGGGGTCAGCCTTCTTCGAATACTTCTTCCCCTTCGCCATATCCCTGACGTCGTCTTTTGAAACATTGCATGCTTCATGTAACTGTTTTTTTTTTATTTCATTTTATTACCCTTGCTGCATAAGGCGGCCTTAATGTGGTAGGCATTCTCCTCCAGCCAACTTTTGGGCAATGCAGAGCTGTGTGTGGCAGGTGTGTATTTTAAACGAATAATTTAGATCACAAATTAAAATAAAATGTGCTACTAAAACACATCCACTCGGCACACATATATTATAATATATAAATAATCTATAAATATTATACTAAAGTGTAAATATGAAGACAAATATTATACTTAAATAAGAAAGACACTTAAAATATTACGCTATTCAATGATCTGCCAAGAAAGTACCGGGAAAAGATCAATAATACACAAAATGTTTGTTATAACCCCAAATTTATTTTAACCACGTTCAAAGTATGCTCATTCAGAAACGATACACTTACGCCAATGAATAATCCAAACATCAAAACATTTTTTAAACGCTGTTTCCGGAATTAAGTTCAGTTCTCGCCGCGAATTCTCCTTTATGTCTTCTACCGATTGCAAACGGATGCCACAAAGTGGTAATTTGAGTTTAGGAAAAAGAAAGAAGTTGGCTGGAGCCATATCTGGTGAATATGGTGGTTGCTCGATGGTATTTGTTGAGTCAAAAATTCTTTCACAATGATGGCCTTGTGCGCCTTGAGGCGCATTATCGGTGTGCATAGAATCCAATCCAAGTGCATCCAAGAATTTTCTTGCCACAAATTTGGCCTTTTACGTCGAATTTTCTCTCTTAAATGCCGCATAACGCTCAAATAATATTTTTTATTTACCGTTTGACCTTCCGGCAAGAATTCCGAGTGCACAACACCGCGATCACGCCACTCCGAAGCTTTTTTGACTAGTTTGCATGTCAAACTCATAAACCCACGTCTCGTCACCAATAACAATGCGTTTCATGAATGTTGGGTCGGAATTGACTCGTTCTAGCCTGTCCTCAGCGACTCTCATGCTATTGAGTGTTTGGAGAAAATTCAGGTCTTTTGGGACTAGCCGAGCGGTAACATGTTTCACACCCAAATGATTAGTTAAAATGGTACGGATCGACTCGTCAGATACAGAAAGTTCGGCGGCTATCTCTCTCAAAGTTGAATGAGGATTTTCAGTCACTATTTCCTTCACTTTTGCGATGTTAAAATCAGTTTCAGACGTTGATGGCCTACCAGAGCGAGGCAAATCTTCCATCACACCTCGACCGCTTTTGTACACTATAACTCACTCATAAGCACGTGTTTTTGATAAAGTCAATTCACCGTAAGCCTTTTGTAACATTTTCAGTGACTCCGAACACGAAATTCTATTTTCGATGCAAAATTCAAGGCAAACTCTTTCTTCGATGTTTTTGTCCATTATGAAATTTGCAATACACACTAGATATGATATAACTAAAAATAGCACTGTATTTAATATAAATAACAAATGCAGCTCAAACTCCGCGCCAAAATGGAGAACAGTGCCCCGAGCACGAAAAAATGTCGAATGCGTATCGTAAACGTATCGAGTCTTCGATACGTTTACGGAGTTTTACGATAGGCGGTAGCACGAAGCACTAACGTTAAGGTATCGAGAGCTCGATACGATTACGTTAGTGACGTCATCCTAACGTAAATAAGGATGTGCACTTAAGAACGAATTCAACATCTTATTGAATGAACTATGCGTTCGAAAACATAATGAAATAGTGATTTTTTTATTACTTTCGGTTAAACTACCTATTTATTGACAATTAAAACAAAATTTACTTATATAAACACATAATAAATCTTAAATTAGGTATGGGAGATTTTAAAATGTAGTATATTTTGGAGAATTAAAATAATGATTATGACATTTTTTTCGGTTTCTGAATAACACGTCTCCACTTGACAATTTATTGACATAGATACGACGCTATGTCTATAAATTGTTTATTATTTTTATTGTAAATTCATCTCCAAGTTTAAGATTATTTGTGAACCTTGAAACTTTAAGAAGCATTTTATAGAAAATATTATTTGTATTATTACGTCGTGTTGGCTGTCGATTGTGACAAAAATCTAAGCTTCCAATAATAGCTAAGTCGTATACCACTAGACCGTTGTCTTATGTGAAAAGAAACTGATAAAGATTTCTTTAAAATAAACCACAGTAAGTCGTGCCACAATAAATCGAACTGTTGAACAGCACAGACGAAGACGTGTTTCATCATCTTCTGCGCCAAAAATCCCAACATCAAAAAAGTCAGTGCCAACAAGCCATTTACAATACGTGCCTATAGTGAAATATCTTGAAAGGTGAGTTTATTCAATTTACTATTTGCAATACTCAATGTACTGTAATGTAAAATAACGATGTGATGTTTGAGAATATGATAAATTTCATATTTATAATTCAATTTCTCGTTGTTATGAGACTTACACTGCTACTTGACATTAAAATAAAGTTTCAATTGTAAATATAGATAACATCTGTCACTTTATAAATGAAAAATGAAATGAAAAGAAGAACACCACCACAGCAATCCTACAGATAAACATACCAGGGACAACTAATGTCTCATATCAGTCAATCTAGGTTTCATAGTACAAGTTCTGCTTAGTTTGAAACTATGTATATGGTGTTGTGTGTCAGATGTCTGAAAATATTTTATTCGTTATTATATAAGTAATAAATGTTGTAATATTTTGTTGTAGATTGGAATACTGGGGGCTCAAGCAGCCAACCGACTGTGGCTCCTCCTTTACCAGCATCTGAGGTTCATTCTCAGTCTTCTCCAGTCACCGCAGTGGCAGAGGAGTGGAAGCCTCCAGAAAAAAAAAAACTCATAAAATAAATGATATTTTAACCGTTAATTGAATCGTAATCGTGTGAAATAAAATTAAAATTATTAACCAGACATATAATTTTTTTCAAAGTAAATAATGTTCTCTGTAAATAACATGTAAGTATGTAATGTATAAAAACCAACTCTGTATAATTCATTTTAAAATTATGGTAAATAAAAAATATTCATACTAGCTCATTTTTTACTATATGCCTTTCATCCCTGTCTGCTGTGGAACCCCCTCTATCTAACCAAATTTGGTACGAGCCCAGCAATGCCGCTTTGGAAATTTGTTCAAGCAAAAAGCTTACTGAAGCAATCCAAGGTCTTTTAACAGGTTATAGAGGGATTTAACTGGTATACCCCTCGCACCCACTTCCACGGCATACAACGCAACGAAATAACCATTTTTAGTTATTTCGTTGGTTTAGTCAAACTACTTCTTAGCTTCAAGCGATATACATATTTTGAAATTCGTTGTCATTACCCGAACAAACAGACAGACAAAAATTATTTAGACTGGTTTTTAGGCAAGATGTCTATTGCAAAAAACCGTGTGAGCATGAAAAAAACCTATTATTTTAAATTACAAACAGACAGATTTTTCTTCTCTTTTATCTTTCTTTGTTTATCTCTTCGCCTTATTTCACTAAAAAATAATTAATTAGATTAATATATATATAAGTACATACTTAGTATACTACATTATATTAATATAGTAGAAGTTTCTTCAAATGTTTCTGACAAATTTTTAGTTTACACTTTATAGATAAAACAAGATTTGCTAACCTCGAATCTAGTTGTTGAATACCCTTATTTTCAATTCAACTTGCGACAAGAACATACATAGGACTAAAGAGGCGGTCTTTGCATTTTATCTCTACAAAAAATTAACCGTTAATACTTGAAAATAATAGTTTTAAAAGAAATTGATTGTTTCGAAACTTTTCTCACGGCTAAATCTTATGTGAATAAACATTCGACAAAGCTTGACAGGTGCTCGATAGCCAGCCTTCGAACGTACGTCAAAATTTCATTCGTGCTGCCAATTTTCTTTATAAAGTGTAACGTATCGAATGCTTGACGATACGTTGACGATACGAAAGTAAATTCGAAACGTTCGTGCTGCCAAAATTAGTTACTTTTACACACGATAGGGGCGCTGCACAAATGTCATACAAATTTTGTCGAAGACGATACGAATACTTTTTCGCAAGTTGTTCGTGCTCGGGGCACAGTTGTGCCAATCTAACAACAACAAAAAAAAAACAAAAATTTGAATTTGGAACCATAAATAAATCATCCATTCCCGATACTTTTTTGATTTAATGTATAACGATGATTCCGACAACAACTCTATATAGTCAGATAGAATTAGCGCCAAATTGGTCTGAAAATCGTGAAATTTATAACCTTCGTTTTCTTTTACGATTAACATATTTCATTTCAACGCGGCTCCGTTCATGGGACCTTTGTTAAAAAAAAAGTTGTCAAGAACGGTTATCGCGTTTTACAAACAAACTTCAAATCTTACATAAAAAGTCGAAATGTACGAATAATGCGCAATAAAAAGACAAACAAAACAAGGCTTGCAGAATCCCGATTGGCTGAATAGTTTCTTTGCAAATTGCTAAATACCGTGTTTTTTTTACAATTTTTAAACAAAGTTATAACTCGCATTCTAATCAATATTAAGACCCCAAATTTGGTGAGGGTATGGGTTTTGTAGTTAGTTAGCTCATAAAATTTCAGCAAGAAAACTTACAAAACTTAAAACGAACTGACAAAAAGGCCTTCGGGAGAATGGCACTAAAAAATTTTTTGGACAACTTGGAATTAATTTTCAACAACGCTTTTCTTTGTCAAGACTTCCTCTACAACGTGGTAAAATGCCGTTTTATTCAATTAAGTAGAAATACTAAAAAAGTCGATTTACTACGATCGCAAATTTGCGCTCCGGCCGGCAGTCAGGGGGCGCGCTGCTGCTCGACTGCCCCAGATCAAAACCAAGTAAGGGACATTTTTTCTGA